ACTTCATTTCCCCCTCCCCACCCAAAATGAACGTGCAGCTTCCCCTCTCCTGATCCATACCAGGCCACATACCCTTAACATTAGGGGATACCTTGCCAAGGGTACCGCACCTTTTCCCCATGTTGATGAGGACAAGCGTCGTGGGCGGTCTGCAGAGGGGTTCCGGCGGGGGTCCCACACACGGATCGAAGTTCCATCAGTGCACGGCCAGCTTAAGCAGATTAAACCTCAGCTTCAAGGGACACGTTCGAGCAGATGAGATAACACCTCCAGCCATTAGCGGCACTTATTCCTAGAAGGGAAGGCATTCAGTCTAACACTGCAGACGTGCCGTATGTGACATATGAGCTGTCGGTAGGAATCCATTAAACACAACTAATTCTCTTTCCATTTACACAGCTCAGGATGCAGATGCAGCTCCAGGTCCTGACTTTGGGGGGGGGGGATTTAGATAAATGGGATTGCTTTGTGAACTTGATGACATGCATTCCGCGCTGTGTAATAAAATGGGATCTGCATCCAGTGATAAAGACTCGACTAGAAGATGCGTGACTATATGATACACACTAACATGCTTACTCTGCAGTGTATGGACCCCCCACCATCAACTGCTGATCTGTGCTCTTCTGCATGTGGTGTACAAGCAGAAGAAGGAGGTGTGGTCTGTAGTGATGAGCGAATCCCCCAAGGTTCATTCCACCAACCAACCAACCAATGCCAACCTGTGATCCACTTTGCAGGATTGATCATCTGCTGCCAGTCTCTGCCGTTTGAAAAGGATCCAGAGATATATTTTTTTCATATGAATTAATAAGTCAGTGTAACAGTTCCAGGTATTTATTACCTCTCGTGAAGATCACAGTACTCCCCCTGACAATGCATTCATCTGCTTTTCTCTCCAGAGGGATGGTACCATCTTTGTTCAGGCATCATCCAGGGTCACCATCTACTTCCTGGACAAAGATGCCAACTCAAAGATGACACATGTAATACCTGGTTCCTGTTCAGTTCTTGGCTGTATTCACATATGTTTGACACAGTTGCAGTCTGCTCTGGGGACGAGGAGACTGAGAAAATTCTTCCTCCTGCATGCAGCATACTAATCACTGGGGGAGGGGATACTGAGGAAATGCTTCCTCCTGCTTGCAGCAGTCTGCTCACTGGGGAGTCTGAAGATATGCTTCCTCCTTCTTGCAGCAGACTGATCACTGGGGGAGAGGAGACTGAGAAAATGCTTCCTCCTGCCGCCAGCATACTGATCACTGGAGGAGGGGAGACCAAGGAAATGCTTCTTCCTGCCTGCAGCAGGCTGATCACTAGGGAGGGGAGACCGAGGTAATGCTTCTTCCTGCCTGCAGCAGACTGATCACTGGGGGATGGACGACTGAGGAAATGCTTCCTCCTGTCTGCAGAAGACTGATCACTGGGGGAGGGGAGACTGAGGAAATGCTTCCTCCTACCTGCAGCAGACTGATGACATCTCAGCCTAGGTAAAGTCACTAGATTGGAGTTCAGAAATGGATTTTTAATGATAAAAATTGGAGCTTTCCTATAAAACGATCCTGTTTATTATGACTTGTTAAGAATTGGTTTGAGCAGACTTGTTTAAGAGTGCAGATTCTGATTTGTAGACTGGTTCTCTTCAATAATCCTAAATATCTGTCTATTGTCTGTATCCCTTTCCTGTCTTGCATACATAGTAATGTGTTCATTTTTATTTTACAGGTCATCTTGATACTGACAAAGCTGTATGATTTTAACCTGGGCAGTGTGACGGAGAGCTCCCTCTGGAGGTCAGTATGTATCATTATTCTTATTTTTAAATACAATTGGAAGGAAAATAAAATGGTTTTTGCATTTTGCCAACATTTTCCCAAACTGTACCGGAGAATCCCGCCTGCCTCTGTCTCGGATATAATACAGACACCCTCTTCCTACACGTGTGAGTTTCTCTCACCGATGACTCGCCAATAGGAAAATCTGTATTTAGAACAGCACAAAACATTTACTAGAAAAGACTGATGAGTGTATAGAACTTGTGTATATACCAGCTGGGAGTCCGATTCTTTTTTTATCTAAAAGGCGTCATTCAGTATATCTAAGCCTCATAGTGGAAGTTTATTATTTTTTTGAAGCTACAGCAACATTTTTTGCCCCATCAGAGATCTCCTACAATGGCAATTTCACTGTTCACAAAATTTCCAAATGAGGATTACATTTTATTTAAGCTACAAAAAAATTTACATTTCCCTGTATAGTAGCAGCGGACCAAAAGGAGTCTCATCTCATATATATACTGTGTATATATATAGTGAGAAAACAAAAACAAAGGACGCCTTCCCTAGTGTAGATACATTTTTTATTATACAAATGGCAAAAAGTGGAATGAAAAGGAATGGAATTTGTTTTTTCACCAGATATTACAGTCTCCCTGACTGTTGTGGGGCAGCGACCTGTAGAAATTCTGTATATATATTTCTTCAGTGGAGTGGTCATCTCTGGCGCTATTGGCTTTTATAGTAAGGGTCAGCCGGTTTTCACCAGAGCTCCTGATGGTGGAGAGGGACTTGGCTGCGTGCTGACCCCAGGTCACATTCCCTAGGTTCACCCAACTCACCTAATACCAAGAATGGTTGACAAGGCCAGAGTTCTGGTCAAGTTGAAGACACACATACAATGGACAAAACAAAGGCCAGGGACAGACAGGAGAACGGGGATCACCAAGGACAAGTCAAAGTTCCGGGCCGACTGATGACAAGGATTTCCATCGACAAGCCAGAGGTCGGTACACGGGCAAACTTCAAGGAATTTAGGTTCATGCGCAACCAGGGGGGCTCGGCATCTAGCTTGGGAAAGCGTTGCTTGGGCCGCGTACCATGCGCTGCCCTGGGTTTAAATAGAGACAGCAGGGGGAAGGATCCACAGAATTGGCCACAAGCGGACTGCGCTGATTAGCCGAGAAGTTGCACAAGAAACAGCAGGAGAGGTCGGCCGACGCCTAAAGCTGCCAGACTGGTGCAAGAGCGGGTCAGGTACAGCACACATAACTGGAGAACTACATGCAACAGCACAGCCCTGCGTGCGTGCAGAACCAGGGGTAAGAGGTCTGCATATACTTACATATACTAGAACTACAAGTAACAGCACAGCTGCAAGTCTGCAGCTGAACTGTGACAACAAGCTGTCCACAACCTTTTGGTCTCCTAGTATAGGTGTGATAATGAGGTTTTTAGTCTGTACTGGTCATTTTAGTCTGTACTGGTCATCTTAGTCCGTACTGGTCATTTTAATCCATACTGGTCATCTTGGTTCGTACTGGTCATCTTAGTCCATACTGGTCATTTTAGTCCATACTGGTATTCTTAGTCTGTACTGGTCATCTTGGTTCATACTGGTCATCTTGGTTCGTACTGGTCATCTTACTCCATACTGGTATTGGACTAAATACCAGTCTGTACTGGTCATTTTGGTCTGTACTGGCCATCTTAGTCAGTATTGGTCATCTCACAGGGTTATTCACTAAGCTGCCGACGTTCGGCTATTCACTCCGGCTCAGTACAGCTGATCTCAGCCGTACATCAGTCAGCCAAATATGATCTGCATGTTCGGCTGAGCCAAAGTGCAGAAGGATTTCGACTCAACTGATCCAACATCTGGATCGGCAGAGCCGAAGCTCCGGCAGCTCGCTCGCTGCCGTTTGCCCTATTCTCATAGGGGCCGAACGGCACTGAGTGAATAGCCGAATGCCGCCGAACAGCATTCGGCTCGGCTACTCTGCTCGGTACATCCGAGGTACCGAGCAGAATATGGAATAATTAAAAAGTATGTTAAAAAAAAAGAGTTAAAAAATTACTTTTAAAATGTAAATAAATTGGAAAATTAAAAAATAGAAATAGTTTAGAGATGAAAAAAATAAAAATAACAATTGTGAGGAGCTGGCAGTGACAGCTAGCTCTGCTAAACTGTTTCCTATTGGCCGGCACCTGCTAGAGTCTAGTAGCAGGTCCCAGCCAATGAATAACATCTGGGCGGAGCTGGCCATGATGTCAAGGCCGGCTCTGCCCAGTTGTTATTGTTTAATGACAGATCAGCGTCTCCAGGTCATTTGGGGACGCTGATCTGTCATTACAACTGGGCATAGCGAGCCATGAGATTTCCGGGGCCCCACTTCGGCATATGCCTTCAGCTTAGCTGAGCCGCTCGGCCACCTTTGGCTGCTGTATGGGCTATTGTGAGTAGCCCGTACAGCAGTCCTTGGGTATGACCGAACCGGAGGTCTCCGGGCGGCCGAAGTGAGCCGAAGGATCAGCCGAAGCTATGGCTGTATCCTTCGGCTCTTTAGTGAATAACCCCTTTAGTGTCATTTTAGTTTGTACTGGATATGTTAGTCCGCATTGGTTGTCTTAGTCCATACTGGTCATTTTAGTCTGTACTGGTAATTTTAGTCCATACTGGTATTTTTAGTCAGTACTGGTCATCTTAGTCTCATTTTGGCCCTTACTGGTCATTTTGGTCATCTTAGTCAGTACGGACGCAATTCAGAACGAAAATTCGGATTCAGATGAGTTGGAATTCGGAAAATTCGGATGCATCCGAATTTCCGAATTTAACTAAATTCATCCAAATTTCCATTCAAACAAAATTGAAGATATCTAATCCTTCCTGCTGATATCACCATTTGTAAACTGGTTTCTACAAAGTATCTTGTTAGCAGAGGTGAGCGCTGTCTCCTGTAGCCTTGCGCCTCCCTGAATCGTACTTGAGGTTGATTTATGGTAACCAGCTAGACTTATGTTACACCTCACCTCAATTATCCAAGCATGTTTACGACTGTGAGAAGCGAGGGCAGCTGAATCTACAATGAAAGCTATCGTGAATGTAGAATTGAAATAAGCCATACGCGTGACCTTGCTTCTCGATCTTCATCCATTTTTTAAAACCCGCTAAGAAAAACTCTCAGGTGTCCTTCCCTTTAGCTGTCATTACAGATGACCTTCGGGCAAAACGGCTAACTTTACACAGTTAAAATAAACATTTATGATCTCTCTTAACTGCCCAACGCCTTGTCATTTTCCTCTTCCACTTCATATACAGAGGGTCAAGAGGGTGACACCGCTTTCACAGTTAAGGTTAAAGAGTAAAGGGGTGTCACCTACCCTCCCCCAGCCTGCTGACTGGACAATAAAGCAGCTGCAGTACCCTGATAAGTCATCAGCTCTGCTCAATGGGAGGATCTGCCTTCATTACCACCTGAGCAGTCTCAGTGCCGTGAAAAAGAAACCCGCAGTGTCTGCATGCCTTTTTGTTTTTTTTTACATAACATTTTTATGAACCATTTTTAAATTGTACAGATACAAAAATACGACAGGACATTATAACATGGCAGTTGCAGCTGAATTCTGGCAACAAAAGCTTACATTGAATGATCTTCCACTATGGTTTTAAAGGATATAAATGCGCACCAAATGCCTTTTGTAGATCTGCTTTACACCACGGCACCCCACGCTTTGCATTGCACTTGGTGATGTAAGGCTTGGATGCAGCTGCTCAGCCATGGAAACCCATTCCATGGAGCTCTCTACGCACTGTTGTTGTGCCAATCTGAAGGCCACACGAAGTTTGGAGGTCTGTAGCTATTGACTCTGCAGACAGTTGGCGACTTCTGCCCACTGTGCGCTTCAGCATGCACTGACCCCGCTCTGTCATTTTTTTTTTTTTAAGCATGTATATCTTTATTGTGGTATACAAGATACAATACAAACAGTAGTCATCGTAGGTTCAATCCAAGAGATGTACAATCTGAGGGCCATCCGGCCACACAGGCATTTACGTAATGTAGACATTAGTAAAAAGCATCAGGCAGGTATACATATCAAGTCAATAATGAATACATCTGGAGTTCGAGAGTGTATCTCTGTAACAACAGTTAACTGTAAGTAAACAAACAAGATTACATGAGAAGCAGGTAGGGTGGGGAGGGAGGGGGGTGCTCTGTCATTTTACGTGGCCTACCACTCCCTGGCTGACTTGCTGTTGTTCCCGGTTGCTTCCACTTTGTTATAATCCCAGTAACTGGTGACCGTGGAATATTTAGTAGCAAGGAAATGTCACGGAACACCTGAATCCAATGATTTGGAGGCGTGTCCCAATACTTTTGGCAATATAGTGTATGTGTTGTGCTGCCTTGTGCTCTTCCGTACATTGCATTAGGCTGCTTTTCACAATAATTGAAACCGCAACGCTTCGCACGTAGAGGAGCTGCATTGCAATACAGTGCGGCAACGTGCGTTAACGTGTGCATTTGAGCATGTGCAAGTGTGAATGTACCCTTCCGGGGGTGGGGGGATTTCAAGGGCCGTACCCGAGACTCCTTTTATCTAGTAAGTCGGCCTAAACTTGCTGCGAATCACCAAAAATAAAATTCCTTCTGCAGACAAAGTCTGAAATTGCATTTGTATCTCAGGGCAGCGGTGTTGGAAAAACAAAGAAGCAATCACGCAATCAGCTCGCCCTCAGGTTGTTATGTCGCCATAAAGCGACGTGTGAAAATTTTTGGACATATTTGTATGATTACTGTTTCTGTAAACTGCAATAAAAAGGTAAATTTCCATAACAATAAAATGGCTGGTGTGGAAATTGTATATTTGAAATCAATTTTATTAGCAAGTCTTTATCCAAAGCGGACCTGGCAATGGATATATTTTTTGATGCGTGCTAACTAATGCGCCATTTAAACTAGGGATGCACCGATATATCGGTGCCGAAACATATCGGCCGAAAATTGCACTTTTGG